ATTTGGGGGAGTTTGGGACAAATCTGGGGGACCTTGGCCTCGTTTGGGGGATTTTGAATTTTGGCCTGAATTTTGGGGGGTTCAGCCCGGGTTTCATCCTGGATTTTGGGGTTTCTGGCAAAATCTTGGGGATTTCTGTAACATCTGTGGGATTTCAGCCCCAGTTTTGGGGGTTTTACACCCGATTTTTGGATTTTAGCCCTGATTTGCAGCCATTTGGATCCAGTTTCTATTATTTCAGACCGAAGTCCAAGGATTTCAGGCTGCGTTTGGGGGATTTTTGCCCCAAATTCCCAAGGTTCTGGCCCTGTTGAAGGATTTCAGACCCCATTTCCAGGATTTCAGGCCCAGGTTTCTGAGTTTCTGGGCAATATGGATTTTTGGTACCAAAAAGCAACATTTCAGCCCAATTTGTTGGGTTTCAGCCCCAGTTTTCAGGAGTTTGGTCTCAGTTTTTGGTTTTCCAGCCAAATTTGGGGATTGTGGTGAAATTTTCATGATCTCAGCTCTGATTTTCAGGATTTTAGACCCAATTTCTAGATTTCAGGGTAAAGTTGGGAGGTTTTGGCCCAAATTTGAAGCATTTCAGACCAATTTGTAGGATTTCAGCCCAGATTTGCAGGATTTTGGCCCAATTTGGGGGAGGCGGAGGGGCAAGGGGTCCCTATTCCCATATTTGCACTGATTTTTGTCTTGAATTGGTCTCTTCCTGTGGCCACATTCCCCAGAAGAAACTACCCTGGGAATGCTGGGCTAAGGAGAGGGGTGGGGTGGGGTGGATGTGCTCGGTTTGGGGAAAATTTGGGGGAGTTCCACTTCAGTTTGGGGGATTTGGGCCCAAATTTTCAGGATTTCAGACCAAAATTTGGAGATTTTGGTCCCACTTTCCATTTTTTTTCAACCCAAATTCCCAGGATTTTAGACCAAATTTTTAGATTTCAGGCTGAAATTGTGGATTTTTGGCCTGAATTTGCACTTTTCTGCTTCATTTACCAGATTTTATCCCAAATTTCTGGATTCAGGCCAAAATTTGGGGATTTCAGGCCCTGATTTGTGGGATTTGGTCCCCGTTTGGAGGATTTTGGCCCCAGTTTGCAGGATTTTAGACCCAATTTCTGGCCTGGGTGGGGTATTTTTGGAGGGGGATGGAAATGGGGCTTTTTGCACATATTTAAGGGGTTTCCCCCCTTCTTTTCCCTCTTTTCCATTGGATTTGAGCTCGGGGCCAACAGCAAAGTCAGGGGGGACACCTTGAGAGGGTTGAAGACCTCCCCATTTTTTGGAGGAAGATTTAAAGTGAAATAAACTGGATTAAAATTAAACCCTTTGTAATGTTTATTTAATAAAGAGACAAATAATTTCCACTTGGGGGGGGAAGAAATTGGGAGGGGGGAGGGAAACACCCCCAAATCCATGT